CCTTTTCCTTTTCTTATTATTAGTTTATTAAGTTTTTTTGCCATTCTTTTTAGTATTTACTTACCTTTATTTTATATAATATTAGGATTTGAGGTATATTTCTTACTTTTATATCTTCTTTTACTAGAAACTTTTCTTATAATTTTTAAATTAAGCTATTTAGGTATAAGTATTAGTTATATTTTAGTATTATTTCCTTATATAGGGCTATTATATTATATAGGCTTTATATTATTCTTAGTATTTAGGTTTATATAGCTATTTAAGGTTTTTATTTATTAGTTATTCCTAATATTTACTTACCTTCATTAGGATCTTTAAGTTTCTTAGGCTAAGGGTATTTATTAATAATATATTTAAACTAGTTATAATTATAATATTTAATATTAAATATATTATATAGTCTTTTATTATTATCTTTCTATATTACTTTTAGTATTATAAGTCTTAATTTAATCTTATATTATATATTTATATACCTTTTTCTTCCTTAATTAGTATTTTATTACTTATTAGTATTTTACTAAGGATTATATAATTCTTTATATTTTTTTACTTGCTTTTTTTAATATTATTTATATTACTAATTATTAATTTCTATAATAATATTTACTAGTTTATTTAAGTTCTTTAGTTTAGGTTTAATATTTACTATTATATCCTTAACTTTTAACTTTAGTTTTAAATATACCTATATTATATAAGCTTTTTTGCCCTAGTTTAATTTAGCTACTTAATAGTAGTATTTAGCTAGATAATTTATAGTAAATCCTTATTATTTAAGGTATTATATTTTTATTTTTATAATATATTTTTTATTTATTATTTTAAAGGTATTTTTAAGTTTTAATTTAAAGTTTTTATATTTCTTCTAAATATACTTTATTATTTCTTATTACTTTTTATATAATTTATTAATATACTCTTAAATACTAAGTTTTATTAGTTATAATACTTTATCTTTAAGAAATTCTATATTATATTAGACTCTTAGCTTATTAATTATAAATTAAATTAAATACTATATTTAGTAACTTTAGAGATTAGTTAAGAATCCTTAGAGTTTATTAATATTACTATTAAATAAGTTAAGTTTATAAGATTAAAGGATTTCTTTAAGGTCTTTTCTAATTATTATAAGGGCTATAATATATTTAATATACTCCTTATAAAGTTTTTAACTATTTTTAGCTTCCTTCCTAAGTGCCTTTATAATCTTAGCAAGGTTAGCTACTTTTTTTTTAGGTTTTTAATTTTATTTTTAGCTATATTAGAATTATTTTTTTTATTTTTTAAGAGGTTATTATATTACTAGTTAAGTTATTTATACTTATATTTAAGTTTTATAACTTTTCCTTTATAAGTACTTAGGTATATAGGGGTAATTTCTTTTTTATTTTTATTATTAGTTTTTATAAGAATATCTGCCAGGTTAAGGGGTATTTCTTATTATAAGTAGTGCTAGGTATATCTTAAGTTAAAAGACTAGCTTAAAGTAATAGGCATTATTATATTAGTATTACTCAGTATTATATAATATAATTTAAATAAGAGCTATTAATATATAATAGTTGGGTTTTTTAAATAAGTAAATTAATTTATATTAAGTTTATATTTATAAATTATATAAGGTATAATACTAAGTATTATAAAATATTATATTTTTTAATAATTAAGTAAGGTATATTAGGCTTATTAATATAAAAAGGCTTTATTAATAGCTAATAAGTTAAGTTTTATAAAAATATAAATAAATATAGTTTATATACTAACGGTAGTCTTATAGCTTAATAAAGAATAATAATAATCTAAAGGTTAAAATTTTATAAATTATTAGTAATCCTTAATAATTTAATCTTAAAGCATTATAATTTAAGTAATTTAATAGAAGAGGATTAATACTAGAAGAAGTAATCCTTTTATAATTAGAGGAAATTGTAGGGGCCACGTGACGTAGCCACGTGGGTTATAATACTTATAAGTATATATTAAAAAGGAGAATATTACTTACTAAAAAAGGCTTAAAGGCAGAGGCATAATGCTTATAGTAAGTCTTTAATAATATTAGCTTTAAGATAATCCCTATTTCTATTACTACTACTTAATATAATAATAAAATAAATTATATTAATTATAATACTTAAATAAAATTATATATAATATATTAATATTAATTTTATTATAATTCTTAATATATATTATTTTAATCTTTCCTCTTTAAATTTATATTTATAAATAGCTTTATTTTATAAAAGAAAATATAATAGCCTTATTAAAAGCCTTATAATATACTTAAAGCTTAAAAAGAATATATTTATAATGTTATTTTTAATAGATATAAGATTAAGAGTTATATAAGAAAGAGATATTATATAAGAAAGAAGGAAAATACTAAAGATATTAAAGTATAATAAATTTACTTATAAAGAGATATTAATTATATTTATAAAGGTATATATTCTAACTACCTAGCTTATAAAGGCTGCTAGTAAGGGCAGATTTAACCCTTTAAAAAAAGAAAGGAAAAAGGAGGTTATTTATAGCTAATATTAAGAAATAAATAAAGGGTATAAACTATATATAGCTGTAAAGTATATCAGGTAGCTATTTATAACTCGGCTAACTGCTAGTACTTCTATTACATGCAAATTTAGGTGCGTGCAAATGTACTTTAAGTAGCGCTCATTTTAATAGGTCTTACACCCTTGTTGTGGCCCCGCCGGAGTCTTGTGCTACTTAAAGAGATAGTAGATAATGGCAATAGGTGTTATCTTCCTGACACGAAGAATATCTCTGATTTCTTTAAGTACTATAGACCTCTACTTTGTACCTTGCCCTACTCTTGTTAATTATTATAAAAGTATATGCAGGGTATAAGAAGTTTATTAGATAATGCATGTTTATTAAAATACTATATAAATTAACCTAAATTAGTCTTAAATAAAATAGTAAATTCCTTAGTAACCTAAGATGAGATATATATTAAAATTAATAGTTGTAGTTTTTATATATATTTATAATATATAGCTAATAACCCTATTAAAGTGCCTATTTTTCTAGCTAAAAAGGGAACTAGCTATAACTTTACACCTTTTAATATAAAATATTATAATTTTTATATTAATATCCTCCCTCTAATACTACTTAAGCTTTTCTAGTATTTTATACCTATTTCCCTTATATACTTATAGATTAATTATACTAAAAGCTAGATCTTTTATCTACTAGAAAATGGCGTTATTAATAGTTAAAATACCTATATTTCTAAATATTCTAGAATTAATAACTAGGAGGGTCTCTCTTCCTTATAAGTCTCTATATAGCTTGGTGTGCTAATTTACCTAGGAATTTATAGGGAAAATATAATTGCAAGCCATTGGAAGACCCCTTCCCTAGGTATTCAGGCCTAACTACACTTGACTATTATGTTTATGCCATTTTATCAGTTCCAGCTAATCTCACGCTATTTTCGCACATTTAACTACATAATACTCAACCTTAGCAACGAAGAGGACCTTCCTAAGGTATTCCAAGCGGCTAAACCGTGGTCTGACTACATATAGAAGGTATTTGCTAAATTTTATACTCCAGGGATTAATATTACTATAGATAAGTATATAGTTCCTTTCACAGGCAGATCAAAGGAGACAACACTCATCAAGGGAAAGCCAACGCCGGTAGGGTTCAAAGTATAGGTTATTGCGCAACATGACTTCTTTTTGCGCTGGCTTTGGCACGTAAAGGCATCACCATATACCGCTGTAATTACCAAGATGCTGAGCTCGCAGTCACAGGGAAAGAAGAGGAAGCCAAAGGAATATGTGGCTCTCAGCAATACACAAAGCGTCGTTGTTCACCTATGTAAAATGCTGCCAAAAAGCGACATATCACGTCTTCACAGATAACCTCTTTTCCTCACCGAATCTCTTCCGTGCCCTTCGCGAGACCGGCTACGGTGCCACAGGCACGGCGCGCCCTAACTTCGGCATCACAAAGGAGCTAAAGGATGCCAAAGAGAGGGATAAAGCAGGCAGCGGCCCTTCCCTTCAGTACAATCAGGCACGAGCTATCCCTACAGGGGACAGCAAGGTACGGTCATCAGACGGGATTTATATGTATTTCCCTTACTAATCTGTCTTTCTTAGATTACACAAATCGGTTGGCAAGATAGCAGTTATGTGCTCTTTCTCTCAACTGTGCACACAGGGGCTGACGAAGAGTGCACACAGCGACAGAGGAAGAAGCCGGCTAAGAAAGGATCCCGTAAGAAAGAGGAAGACATACAGCGCTATTTTGGAACGAATTCTTCAATGATTATCGCGATCCCTACGGTAGCTGCTTCTTATAAAGATGAAATGAATCATATTGACCGAGGTGATCAGTTAAGGTCATACACAAGCTATGAGCATCGCTTCCGCCGCGGCCCTTAGCAAGCACTCCTTTGGTCCTTCCTTCTTGATGTTGCCCTTGCGAATAGCTTCATTTTACAGCTCAAGACGACATCCCCTAGGTAGGTGCCCTATAAAACCCTCGAGAAGTGGAAGGAATGCATCTACAATGCCATTTTTAACACATACGCCGCTGAAAGCTCGGCCAGAAAGAGAGGTCGCACAGGGAAGGAAGAGGACATCAACGATATAGATACACACCAAAAACACATACAAAGAGATATCAACCACGTCTGGAGAGGCGTTAAATCGGATTGCCTAGCTTGCAAGGGGTTTAAGCAGGGGCAGCCCCGGCCATTAAAGAAAAGGAAGCTCGGCAAAGGCACCCCCCTACAGTCAATAACAGGGAATCTATGGAAAAGTCATCACGAAGGCAGGGTGCGGCAGACCCGGTACGGCTGCAAAGAATGCAATGTAGCGATTTGTAACAATAAGACCTGCTGGGACTTCTATCACGCGCCAAATTAGGTGTGGTTAGAAGTACCTTTCGTTCTGATTATTTTGATTGGTTCTACACCCCTGGAGGTCTATAGCACTCAAAGAGATAGACTGGTTTAAAGCTTTATTTATTCTCTATATAAGATACTGGTTACTCGCTAGTAGGCCTTTAGTGGGCTGACTCTATCGAGGCTGGTTACGCCCTTATACCAAGCCTCGGCGCCGTAAAGTAGCACTTGCTCGACGCATGCCCTGATAGTAAGTCCTCGCAAATAGTAGGCTTGGCGAGACCAAGTCGAGAGCTAGTAAAATGTATATATTTTTAGTTCTTAGGGCCCTATGGGCGTAATAGACCTGTCTGTGCAGAAGGGAAATGAGTTAGGAAAAGCACAGCTTCCAACCTTTTGCGAGACTTAGTTCCAACCAAGACACGCCCACACCACTATCTTTCAAGGACCAGATTTCTTGCAGTAGTTGGATAGACCAAATCTGGACTGGGACCCGATTCATGGAGTAGAGCATCTTAAATTGCGAGATGACTTTACTCCTCCAACCATCGTCATGAGAGGTGAGCTCGGCTGCAGCGCTGAGGAGAGGCAGAGATTGAAAGTTGGCGCAAGGCTCAGTGAGCGGGATCTCCAGCAGGTTTTCTATTGCTTCTAAAGCAAGAGATAGGATGTTAGATGGAGATTCCTCTTGCCTCTTATCAGAGTCAGGCTCGCCATGAGCGATTGATGATGAAAGTGGCCCAAGATCTTGGAATCGAAGACGTGTTTGGCAGCGCGTTTGATATAGCATCAGCAGCCCATGGTTCCGATAGGCATTGCTGAGGTTCTGGATATGCTTCTCCCCGCGGTTCGACGACCATGCCAGCAGTCGCTGCTCGGCTTCCTTATCATCAAAAGTGGAATCTACCAGGCCTTGCTCATAAACCCGCTTGCAGTACCGACCAATATCGGCTACTATGGCATAGAGCTCGAAGGAGAAGCCTACTATTGGATGGAAAGAGCGATGATGCTGCTCAAGGAAGAGTATATTTTGCAAGTCAGATTGGTCGGGAGAGTCACCCGTGTCATCAAGAAACGCGCATGTCATGTCCCACCAGAGGTACCAACCGGATAAGAGCTGAGTGATGGAATCTTGTCGAGCCTTTTTATCGACAAGGATGAACTTCATGAGTGTGCGTGCGCCGTCTAGGTGTTCTTTGCCCCACGAGGCGGGCTGGGGCTCGATCCACGAGGAGGATACTCCAAGAAGGAAGACGGTAAGTACAGAAAGGGGTGATATGGTTCCAGAATTCTGCAGGCCCTCGCGAAGGAACCTTATAGCATGGCCACGCTCTTGGAGACAGACAGCGAGAGCTTTTCTGCTGAAAAAGACCTCGTGACCGGCGCTGATGCTTTGTATTGCATGTAGAAGCGAGGGACTTGAGGCCAAATATGGCAGAAGGGGCAGGGCTAGTGGGTTATTATTGCGCTCAATACACAGCATCTGGCTGGCCTGCTCGACCCAGTGTTGAACCAACCTCTTGTTAGGAAGACTATCACTGGGCCATGAGTCGAAAACTGTCTTATTGGATAACCAGGGCACCTCAATCTGCCATTGCGCTGGGCGGTTACTGGCCATACAAACAGAGCCACGACGTTGGCACCGGAGACACACCGGAAAGGTCTCATCACATTTGACACGCCTGACTCGGCATTCCAGGCACCCATAGCGGCTCTTAGTGTGCTGAGTTTTCAAGTCATTGCGGGGAAAAGACGTGGCGGAGACGGTTAACGAAGACAACGAGTGAGCGGCTGGCGAAGGATCTTGAGCTTCGATGACCTTTTGGTACTTGCTGCCGCTTGCGAACCGGACCTTGTAAGAACGCCTACTTGATGTGCTCATGACGTCAGGTAAAGGGAGCGGGCATGCAGGGCTTAGCTGGAAAGAGGAGGGTTTGATATGACCTGATGCGTTTGGAGAGCGAGAATTTTCGCTTCTAAATGATGACGCTGTCATAATGGTGGCGTGTGACTTCGACTGCCCCGCACGTCCAATCAATTTCTGGTTGGACAGGGAATAACGGCCTTTGCCTATTTGAGAGTTAGTGTGAACTTGGCATCAGGCTGGATCTCTCCTCATGTATCTTGTTGAACCGTTGATTGATTGATTGGTCTGTCTGGGGCCTTTCTTGTCAAACCGCCGGGTGCCAATTAGCAGGGCATTTTGGCTAAAGGAGCTGCTTTTCCCAAAATGGAAGAGTAATATGATATTATACCCTTCTTTTAGAAATTAGCTAGGCTGCATTAGAAAGGCCTTAGATAGATAGTTTAATTAATTAATTAATAGTTTAATAATTAAGAGTCTTAAAGCTAGACTTCTAAAAAGATAGTTATAATTATAAGAAATAAATTACTAATTAATAAAATAAACTACTATCTAAATAAATAACCCTTAATTAGGATATTATTAATTATAAATATAAAAACTTACCTTCTTAATAAACTTAATAATTAGGACTCTTTTAAGTAATCTTATATTATAAAGATATTTACTTAGAGGATTTATAAGCTTTAAAGAATTATAAATCTAAGGTATTTTATAAATTAATAAGTCTAAAAGCTAAAAAGGCCTAAATTTAGTAACTACCTTATAAGAGAGGAAAATAAGCCTTAAATATACTTTTTAAATACTATTTCTATAATTACTTAAATAAAATACCTAGTAATTTTATATATTAAGTTAGTCCCTTATCTTAATTATACCTTTATAATTTAAGATTATAACTATCTTAGTCTTTACTAGCTTTTAATTAGCTTTATAGCCTTTATTAGCATTATTAACTATTTCTTTATATTATTAAGCTATTATTTATATAAGCTTTTTAATTAAAATCCTTAATTTAAAGTCTTTAATAAATCCTTTATTACTTACCTTTATAAGCTTTTTTATTATAAGGGATTATTTTAGCTTTTATAATAACTTAATTTCTTTTTTAAAATAGCCTTTAAAAATTATTAGCTTTTTATAATAATAATATATAAATAAAAAGACCTTATAACTTAAAATAACTTACTTAATAAAAATAATATTTTTTCTTTTTATTTTAAGTCTTTTTAATTTTTATTATTATAATATAAAGCTTATTTTTATATTTATAATTTTTAAAAGCTATTATAAATTAAGAGATTAGGTTAGGTATTTTAATATAAAAAGCATTATTAAGTAGTTATAAGCTTTTTAAATATTATATATTATAATAATATAGCTATAATGCTATTAGCAGTTATAGTTAGAAGGTATTCGGGTTAGGTAACTTACTGCGTAATAGATAATTAAAGCGTGGTATTATCTTAGCCTTTTAGGTAGGTTATAGAAAGAAGGTTAAGGCCAGCTAATAAGCAGGTAAGGCTTTTTAGCTGGCATATATGTAGCTAGGTTTAAGCTATAATTAAGGCAGCTAATTATATTAATTTAACTTAATAAAGCTCTACTAGCTATAGGGGTAATCTACTCTTCCTTTAGGCAAGAGTTCTCTAATTTATTAAGCTAATATATAATCTAAGCTAGGTATTATTATATTACTCTTAGGATTATTTAAATCTACTTATTTATAATAATTCTAAATTTCTAGAAATTCTAATTAGTAAGGCTATTAGATACAGTTATTTAGATTAATATATTACTACAGGTTATAGATATATACTAGTTTCTTAAACTTATTAGACTGGGAATCCTAATCCTCTGGAGATGCGTAGATAACAACCTTTTCAGCGTGTTTCGTCGCCATCGTGATAGAATGAACCTAATCCACTCACAGGGAGCCAGGAGTAACGAGTGGCGGACCAATCGGCCTAGAGGGGGGATGCACCTCAATGGAGGGGGGATCGCCTTCTTGGCATTGCAACACACGTAACTCCGGTGCCGCGTTCCTCATATCCCTCGACATGTAATTTGAGAGTTTGCCAGGGTTTGCAGCACCTTTGTTAAACATACCTCACGTTTAGCGAAAGGGGGGACATTAACCTCATGCACAGTCACTCGAGCTCAAGGCAAAAAGTATAACTGTATCCCCAGTTACTCATTGCAATCGAGCAACATTTCTCCGCAAGCTCTGACACTTTACCAAGATGCGCCAGTCTGTGCTGCTCGGTCTCTCAGCGCTTTCCAGCATTGGTATTACAGTTCCAGTCCAAGACAGTCCTCGTCAGCGGCTGCTCGATGGACTTGGTCTCCCAGCAAATTATCGTGGCTTGACGGGTGGTAAACCACTTCCTTTCACGCCTGAGCCTAGAGACCCGAATGATGATTTTATAGACTCCGTTGGTGAGGGCCTCGAGCACAAGATGAATACACAATTCTGCATCAATGGTCCGAATCCACGTAATGTCTGACAATAACTTGCGGCCGAGGTCACTGTGCGGCCTTTTGTGATTATTCAGAGGCTCACCGATCAGGCCCTTAGCTTTAAAATTCTGCTGTATAAACTCACCGACTTCACAGCTTATCCCAACGGCTAGTTGCCCCTTCTTGCCGCGTTTACAGACAGTAGGCTTAGTATAGATTTTATATCGTACATTTTATCAACACAAGTCTCTTGGCCTAAGTGGGTGATCTTTTTATCTGGTATCTCATCAATTGGATCAGTATACTGTGATACTCTCGATTGAGGAGAATTCGATGTCGAAGCCTACTCCAGCCAAGCAGAGACCAAAGGCTTCAGCCCTTCAGAAAACCATTGCTCATCAATCGACAAGGTTGCGTCGAAACCATGATCACCCTCACATACAGCAAGCGTAAAGGCAAGATCTGGGTCCAGCTCCTTGATCTTGTCAGCTAGCTTGACGCTGCCTTCCACCGGCACAACGCTATCTTCTTTGCCGTGCCAGACAAACACACCGCCTCGAGGAAATCTGGCACCATCTTCCATTTTGTCTAGAATGGAAAGATCTCTTCGGTTGAGGGGAATGAGCTCTTCAAACTTGCCGTTCTGGATATAGCTGAACATCAACGCGGCACGTTGGACCCGGGGGTCAGCCGAGATTATAGAAGAAAATTCCCCATTCTTCAGATTGGCCTTGTGCTCATCTATTAGGCTAGCTGGCATTTGGGGGAACCCAAACATTGGCTTTTCATACGCCTCAGTGAAGTGGCGGCTTTTGGCGTCAACCAAAGGGTAGGCTGCTGTTACAGCTCGAACCTCAGAGGCATGATTCAGGCCGGTAATGAGGCTGAGGTAACCGCCTGCGCTGTCTCCAGCCGCCAGGATGCGGGTGGTATCGACTTGAATCTTCGCTTTGCCGCTGATGAATTCCGGGAGCTTAGTGCGGGTCCAGGTCAGGAAGTCATCGATGTCGGCAATGATTTCATCCATTGTGGCCTCAGGTGCCAGTCTATAGTCGCAGCTCACTATTACGGCTTCGTGACGCGACGCAAACTGAAGATGCCAGGGCGAGAAGAAATCTGGGAACAGACTGGAGCCAGAAATGAAGCCGCCGCCATGGATTCGGAGTATTATAGGCCTGGGGCTGGTCGGTGTATCTCGAGCTTGTTCTACTAACGCCTTTGGGACGAGGACGTGGCAGGCAATCTCGTGGCCCCGGACAACTTTGTAGACAGTCTCGAAGATGTCAAAGTTGACAAAGCGGGAGTAATCATTGGGGTTGAATTGGGGCGCCATGGTGTTTGGTAAATCAGTGGTTGGTTGGGCTGTACCGGCTTTAGGAATCTGGGAAGCTCGCTGGATTTATACATGTGGCTGGCTGGGCGGTCAATGCGAGTTCCAGCCAATGCACAGGTAGCAGGCATTTGTGATTGTATTGTACAGCGTGGGACGGGACTAGGAATAACCGAGTGCATATAAAGAGGGCTGGTTACAAAGTTTAGTACCATGCTCCGTGCTCGTACGAAGTGGACATGGCCATTGTTTTTTTAACTAACGCCACTCGCGGTACGTAGTACTGTAAATCAAGCCAGAGGGTAAAAGACACCCCCCACCCCCCTTCAATTCACGATATCTACAGGAGGGAAGGTCATTATGATCTACAACAGGAACAATCTACCTGGTTAAAATACAATTAGAGGCTTATTATAGGATATCACGGTGGGCTAAGCTACTTTAAATTAGCCATCATCCTCCGAGCTACTACTGGCATTGTGGTCTGGCATCACCACGCTATTGAGAAAGCTAATCTGTACAAGTCAGCAAATCAAAGAGTTCTTCTCGCCTTCTCCAGAAGCAAAATGGGCTTACGAATGCGACCAAAGGCTGCAAAATCTCGACGATCCTTTCCTGGGTGTCTTCTGCGCATAGAATATTGTCCGGAATCTTTCTAGAAAGAGTGAACTTTCTGAGCTTTAGAAGCTCGATGTCTCGATGGTCTATAATGAATCCCTAGTAAGACGGTTAGCCTCGACCGAATCTTCTGTGATGTGCATTGCACACCTTGGGTCTCGACTTGAGGGCCGTTTCCTTGTTTTCGAGAGCAAAGGCCTTCAAAGCTGCTTCTTCCGTGGCTTCCTTTCTGGCTTGCGGCAAGAAGGTCAGCTTCAGGCTGTCATCGTCCAGAACTCTGCGCCATCGCCTCGGCCGCTCGTCTATGCTCGCTCGAAGTCTTCGGAGTTGTTCTGCATTAGGTGCGAATATCCCGCCAGCGACGAAGGACATGCCTGGTTCGCAATGGATGTAGTAGTGGGCATATGTCCCCTTGCGCCCCGTTCGAGACCAAGCCGCCGAGAAGTGCGCCTAGTAACCATCAATCATGTACTCTGGAACCAGGACACCGTGCTTCTTACCTTATATGGTTTCCCATCGGGACTGAAGCGCAAGTCTCTGTAGATACGAAACATGACGTCCTTAGCCGGTAACTCCGGGATGGTGTCGTCGATGGACATAATCGAAGAAGTAGTTCGCTCGACAAATGTTTCCCAGTCCTTGTATGCGCGTCGAAACTCCCCATCATGAGCTTCTGTGCGTTAGCGATCATCAATATGGTCGGCGTCGCGATTACCTTTCAGCCAACCTCGATTGTTATTGACTTTGAGGTCCTTCAAAAATAGAAGGCTGTTCGGGTTGATCTTAAAGTCGACGTATGCAATGCCGCCGTCGTCACGCATCTTCTCCAGAGGGATAATTGTCACTACTGGGGGTGCGTCTTCGTCCGCATCATTACAGAACTCGTCGGTTTGAGCTTCATCCGGCTCTGCCGTGTCCTCAAGGTGCTCTGATTTATTATCCCCGTCGTCGTCTTCTTCGGAGTCGTCTAGGTATGAGTCTTCTGAGTCTTCTGGCCTGTTACGATTCCGACGAGTTCTTGGCGCATCGCGTACTGCCGAGGACGGCTCCTGGGCGCTATCGTCATCACTGTCTGTGTTCTCGACGTAGACAGTCTTACGCGATTTGTTCGACAACCGTGATCGGCGCAGTTCGGGCTCGGGGGGTGTGGAATGTTTGCGTTTCTTTATAGGCATACTGTCGGGTTGGTCAATCCCACAGCATAGTCGGGCAATTAAGCAGTGTAATCTGTTGTCACCAGACAAATTAGAGACGCAGCCATCCAGTGTCAAGTTCCAACCATTTGGCTAATTACTGTGCACCTGCGGAAGAACAATCATCCTTGTGCATCTCAGGCGGGTACATGAAATGAAGTTGGGCACGCCCTATACACATCAAGCATAATCCCTAACTAGCTGGTCCGTAGGTAGCCGGGATTAAACGTGTATAATTGCGGTTCGATACTGTACAAGACCTGATTCCCAACCTCTGGTTGCTTGCTCATGGATGAGATACGTCCATATTTCAGTTATCCTGATTTGATATAGGGGATCTAATAATCGGTACATTCTGACGAAATGTACTTACTCCAGAGAGAAGGTTACTAGTTAGCCCAAGCAGAGCACCTAGCTTTTTATTACATGCTATATATTTCTTACTCTGGCAACTCGTAGCTATAACAAGTGAAGGACTTTTGCCGCCTACGAATCGGGATATTTCACCCAATCGATAACTGTTAATGGCTAACTTGTAGGATTGGCGTAGCTGCAACACGTACCCAGTTTTATGGGGCGGTGGTAGCACATCAAAAAGTTTATGTTGAGAATTGAGTAATACTGGGCATACTCTACTTTGGTGCCCTCGGATACGCACTCGATTAGGAAAGAGACTTTTTCGCAATCGAATTACATCATGACAAATCAAGTTAGTCGGTGAAATCCGGATGTTTCAAGGTCCCTATTATTACAATGCATTACTGAACCTTGATCAAATGTTGTCGAGGTTTGTTATTCGTATGACGGAGGGCCCGAGGGTTGCCGTATGGTGTAATACGCACCCTAGACAGCTTATAATCCCTGTTTCAAATAACCGGGGTGTGTTCATGGTGGATCTCCATTTTAGAACCGACGTGCGACTTATTTTGCTGTGGGAATGTTATGTATTTTAGTAGTATCGTGAATGCAGGTATACTTGAAAGTAGCAGGGACACGAAACTGGATCGATGGTCTATCTAGCATGCATTTGCCGAATATAGACTTTTACCAGCATGCAGTAACTATTATGGTGCTATCCCAGTAGAGTGGTTGATTGGTTTTGCCAGGCTCCTTCTGCGCGATTTATGCTCAATGGAAGGTTCCCTAGAGTCTTTAATTTCCTTCAGCAGGGTATTTTATGGCTTATCATGGCCGGCTCGTAACGAATTGCATGGTCCAAGTCGTCAAAACCAACCTCAGCTGCGACGAGCTACTACCACCATGTGGTACCCTTAATGCTTCTGAACCGAGATGGAGCGCTATACGCTCAACTGAACTGCATCGGTTATTGCTCTGGGCTTTCGGCGATTCTAAATTTGGCAACATGGTCAATAGTAGATAATGTAAGCTCTGTAGAATACATGTAAATAACGTGTATTTGATTGCTTCGGTTTTCAAGTGCACTAATAAGACCATCGCGAATGGTGTATTTTCTTTCTCACTACACGCTTTCCCTGACCTTACATTCTTGGCTTCGAGGTTACTGCTAGGGCCTATTAGGGAACATGAAACTGTCGATCGAAATGTCCTTTCCCTCACGTACGGCGCATTCGACAAGTACCATGAGATGAAAACACCTTCCCTATGTATAGAGAACCACTGCAATATACAGACACTTTGCGTCCCTACATGGGGGCGCGGGCAGGGCCCTCTCTGACCCAACGGTCTAACTCGATTATGTATAAGACCGCAGCGACATGTGACGCGATGCGGCCAAATCATACACACTCTGTCCCTCTTTACTACATAAAGTCACCAATAACAGCAACAAACAGGCTTTTTTCCAAGGCTTGGGTTTAGAAGTGTCCGGATTCCATCAGATTGTATCTTATTAGACAAATAGGGGCTCTGTGCTGTTTAACAAGGATGCGTACTAGTGCCTATAAGTGACAGGAGGTAATGTTTGCTCTAGATGAGATCTTAACGGCCCAGTTTTTCCCACAAAGCCCCACACCCTAAGCCCATCATTGGCCCCACAACCTCGCGAAATGGCCCAGATAGGAAACTTTTTTTCCGTGGATATTTTCCAGTGCCCTTGTGAAGCGACGATCCCTATTACGTAAAGCGACTCCACCAAATCTAGACTTACAAGCCATTTTCCTCCTTGGGCCAGATTGCAAACCTACTTGTTGGTCTTTTTCGGAGCTGAAGGTTCTCTGAGTCAGGTCGTCATATGGATAACCCGGGAATAAATGTAATGCTTTGTAAGCTCGATCTGGTTTACGTAACCTCTAGCTAGGTCTTCTCCAATAACATAGTAAGTTAGTCTCGTGAGCAAGAGAGTAACAGGCACTACAAAAAACCTGTCGGTCTTGTCGGATCTGTGAGCTGCGGCCGGGGTCCGCGTTGCGGTGGAAGCGGGCCTTTGCGAAGCGGGCTCGAAATTATAGTGTACGATAATCATTTTACAATGTGGGATGGTGACTTACTCTCATTTCTTTGAAACCCGCAGGTTTTTTGTCGGGAGTTATATAAGATCATATTTCAGAGCTCGAAATTCTAGTCTTGACACAAGTTTTCAAACCGGCCCTATCCCAACAGCTTTCTACACCGATTGAACAATCTTTGCCAAGCATTTCTTGTCTTTCCAATCATGGCTTTCAACCGTATTGCTGTCTATGGTCACCGTGGATTCGTTGGCTCTCGAGTTGTTCCTGCTCTAATTGCCTCGGGAGCGCCAATTACTGTTTTGCATCGCCCTAGTTCGGATACTTCCAATCTCCCTGATCACGTGAGAAAGATTGAAGTCGACGTTCTTGACGAAGACGCTTTGGTTGGCGCCTTGCAAGACATAGACATTGTGATGTCAGTCAGACCCACTGAACATCTGTACCTTTTCGAATCTATGCTAATGGACTTCCCAGTTCTTTTGTTGGAGACGAGGGTACCGACAGACAGTATGGCTTTGTGAAAGCCATCCCTAGGACCAATGTCCAGCTTTTCTCTCCTTCGGACTTCTGTCTGCGATATTGTGAGCAGGGAATGCGCATGCCCTGTATGAAGGCAAAAGCGAGAGTCGAAAAGGCTTCTAAGGATGCTGGAATTCCAACCTCTGTTATCCACGTAGGAAACTTTGCTGAATTCACCTTGAGCACGCCGTCAGTCATCAAAATACCACTCACGATGTTTATCCGTAACTGACTTTCACAAATGTTAGGGCGGTGGGTATTGATTTGCAGAACAACATACTGGTCCACACTGGCAACTCCGTTAGGGAGAGAGTTACTATGTGGTGCGTAGCATTTTACCCAAAGACTCCTTCTCATCTAGAGAATTCCTTTAGTATAATTAAACTAATTCCTTGTAGCACCAAGGACTACGTAGCAGCTGCGTACGTCGACATATTTACCACCAGACCTATTCACACTATACAGAACCGGACCTTCACTTTGTCGGAGCTTGCACCAACAGGCATGGAAATTGCTGCGATCATGAAAGAGAAGAACGGCAAAGAGCCCTCTATTGCGACACGAAGCTTAGAGGAAATTAACCGAACGATCGAGGATTGTCTCAGCAAGGAGAGTAATCTCGCTGTCCCGTCCTATTGCCGCAAGATCTGGGGAACGGGAGAAATGATGAAGATGCTTCCCGATGATTTATGGGAAGTTAAGGACTACAAGAAAGCAACTTTAGAGGATCTTGTCATAGGAGGAAGATTGGAGAGCTACAGAGCCCTGCCCGATCATGTGATGGAGTACCTAAGAAAGATGCTCTGAAACATGTATTGCCATCTATTCTAACATAGCTAGCGGGGAACTTGGCCAAGAATCTCCAGACATGGGCTTTTGCCAGTTTCAACGGCCTTGACGACGCTATTGCAGTCGAGAAACTACCCGTATCTGCTAGGGTTAGGGGTAGAATTATAGGCATTTCGAGACTTCTCAGCTTACTACTCTTCAAGTATTACCAGGCATACGCAATCATCGTCCACTTTACGTCTGACCGGGGCCTTAGTTTGTTTCGTACCACCTTATGCGTTGCAGAGTTAAGTATAGGCTGGTCAGGGGAATCCTCGATGTTAATATTCCATTCGGATGGATTAGAGTATTTACATCGCGAAGACTGTTTGCAAGACTCCAGGATGTTGCTATGAGATGAGATGTAGAAATCATTCGGTCCACTTAGTGTCGAGATAACCGCATCGCTATCGTTGAGTTGTCGAAGGAGGCTGTAAACGGAATAGTACGTAAGCCTAACTTCTAACTTAAGGTCTTGGAGGCCAGGCTTAATCGGTCAAGTAAGCATCACGATTTGATCTGTCAACTGCGAAAGTTACTTAGCGAAGGCCAAGCCGACAGCTCCCCTACCCATAAGAGCGATTTTCGTGACGCCAAAGATTAACTGAGTCAAGGATTGTCAAATTCTGAAAGCAGCTTAACAGTGAAAACAAATGATAATGATAGCATTGTGTCGTGAGAGGAGATAGCTATGGACAATTTATAGCCAAGATTGAGATAAAAGTGCGCGTTGTGGGTGGAGGAGAGGGAGGTGTTCTTACGTCACGGTTTAACACCCTGGCGTGACTGTGTCAGAGGCGTATCATGACTCAGGGGATGGGAGTAAGCTAGGAATATTTATCTTCAAGTACTTAATCCTGCCATGATGCTTCCAGCGCCGTTTGTCTTAACCTCTCCTTGTGAGACATCATAAAGATATCGTCAGTGGTGTCAGGTAAACCTATATTTCCTTTCGAGGAGTTTTCATTAGAGTATGTGATGATCCAGTGGCATAAACAGGGAAGTATCACACCTAAAAAATTTCTGAGTAAGTTTTACTTACGTTGTCATTTGGTATTCCACCAAACTGGTTTTCAAGTTTAAGCGCCACTAATTACTTGTCTATTTGAGCCCAGAAGCGAGGTACCCCTATCTACTACCGCGAGTAGAATCCACTAACCCCCTTTAGCTCTAGAGTGAAGAGGAAATTAGGAACAGCAACCGACTGAGGGGATTCCGATGTTAATGGGGAGCACGACGGCTCACTACCCAACAGCTCAGCAGTTACATCAGTGACACCTAACGATAGACGTGACAAAAATCCTTAAGAGCCGCCTCCGTATCATTTAGAGAAGGTTTATATATTTTACGGAAAAGTTATGTAATATACGACAGGTTTAGTTATAATACGAGAATATTCCAAGTATTCACTACGATATTAAAGAGCATGATAAGTACCTTAACTCAATTAGATGTTTCAAGCGTTTTAGTCGTAGTTTCTCTCTTAAGCAACTGGCTTATCACGTTTGTTAGTATAATATGCTAAATGGATTTAAGATATTTGGGAAAATGTCTTACTAGATTGATATGTTAAGCGTACTCCTATCTGTTGTTAAGTCGTGCTGTAAGTAATTGCTTAAACTAGTATAACTAGGAGGCTACAAAATCTAGCTGCGAAGTACGTGATTCCTTTCCAATTCTCGTGTTCAAGTAACCAGGCTGGGCATCAAAAATCATGATCGAAGGATCTTGCCCCTTATGTACAGGCCATGCTGGCACAGGCTCTAATCGAGTATTAGAGTAATTCTGGCAAGGGATGAAGTAAAATAGGTTATGTGAAAAGGTAATGACTCACGCTTGCTATAGGAGGGGATACCAGTGTTCATACATCCCACCCACAAACCGCTCATCACTGCTGCGAGGTCAAGGTAAGATTGTGGCCTGCCAGCGAACGGATTACCACCTAGAAAAAGGGTTTCGCCTCCCTCCCAACCTGTTCCATTAACATTGTAGAACATATATGCCAGATCAAAACCATGAGCCGATCCAAAGTAGTTGGGGCCGACACTAAGAGTGGTATTGGCATTATAAACGTAGATATTGCTACTATGCTTCTGCCATAGTTGAGCCCCGTAATGAGTTGGTGCTTTGAACACCACATCAGTCAAGATTGTATTTGCGCGCTTATACATAATTCCCACCGTGGTATTGAGTTCGGCGTTCAAGACTTCTGGGGACGCTAGGTCTGGATCCGAATACTTGTATCGTGACATGATTTCCGTAGCTTGGGTGAAGTTCAGGCCCACGGTCTCAGTCACGAGAACTTCGTGAAGTTCGTGTTCCGTATTAATCCCCAGAGGTGTGTAGTATCCTGCTTCGTCGTTGTTAGTGCCAAGGAGCAAAGGAACCTTAACAAAACTGCCATCTCGCAATTGCTCTAAACGGGGTCTAGCAACAATATCCCCATCAACCACTGGACCATATATGATTGCTGCAAATGGGAGACTTAGTGTTGCATTGATTGTGTTATTCAAGGTCTCAAAATCAGCCTTCCGCAGACATGCAAGCTTGTCGGTGGCCTCAGGACATATGGTTTTAGTAATATTTGCTCTAGCGAGGGATGCCCTTTCTTATGTGAGTTAGTGTGACAGTTGTGTCATCATCAAATCATGGTTCTTACCAATACTCGGCTCCCATGGGCCTATTCCTGCTACCGATGCTGACTGTCCTATTGCTGCGTGGAACAGTCCATCGTCACGGCCATTGTACGCGAATAAGTGAGAAGAGACCGAATAAGACCCCCTGGAGATTGTAAGTTGATCAACAAGGCGTAAGCACGAGACACTCGGGATAAGTGCTTACGCGCTTTCCCCAAAGATAGTTATCTTGGAGGGATCACCGCCAAATGCTGCGATGTTCTCCCTTACCCAATGTAAAGCCAGCCTGTTGCCTGTTAATCGAGGCACAACATGCTGCATTTAGATACTGACCTTTGATCCCTCAGTCCAGCATTTGTCGAGCCTTCTTTAACTATCTCATCTGAATAGAGCCAGCCCCAGCCCGCCAGCCGATAATTAATTGTAATAGCAATAATCAGTTGTTGAATCTGTATGGAACGCTCAACGAGGGAAGATACATTATAATATCCTTGTGCACCGCTTCCGTATGACCAACCACCGCTATTTCCAATTAGCTTGTAGGAATCAATCCATTAAAACAATCAGACTTACCCATGAATAAAAACTGCAACTGGCAGGGGCGTCGACCCGATGCCTGCTGGGCGAGCTATGTTGAGAAACAAACAATTCTCGCTTGTACGGTTCTTTGCCGAAATTTCGCTGTCCTCGCCGTAACCGACACAAGAGTAGCCATATTCGGTTGCGTTTCGAAGTCCCGACCAAGTAGTTTTCAAACTACGAGGAGTGGCAAAGCGCAGGTCTCCAACAGGTGGCTGCGCATAAGGGACTCCAAGAAAAATGTCTTGATTATATACTGAGTTGTGAAGTCCGACATAAGAGCCGTTGAGAGTGTTAACGACGGGAGCTTTGCTGGATGTCACAGCCGCGCTGCTCACTAGTCGAGCACACAGTATCGCGCCAAGAACTGAGGTAATGGATTTAAGAGACATGATGATTTTGCATTTGAAGTTATTTCTTCTCGCCTTTTTGGAGTAGGCCTCTGATGGATTTATACTTCACAATTATATTGACGATGAGAAACATGGAATCTCACGTGGCTACAAGTCTCGTATCCTGTCTAAATTAGGTAAGTAAAAAACAACTTATTCATCAAACCTTGTTTGCCTTTAGGGTCTATGTAATTCGTCGTAGCAAGTCTACATATGCCCTAACGTGGGTCACCTATGACAGGCCACCCCCCACAACCAACCCCAAATGCCGCTTCCTCAGCCACTGTCCCTTTAAGTGCCACAGCACATAACGCCTTCGGAGGTAGCAAAATTCCCCGGACCAGGGTATTTCGTAAGGATGTTGGTTTGGCGGCTCAGAATGAAGAGCTAACCAGCAGAAGGATCAGCCAGCTGCCTACATTTGGGATTCACCGACGTGGTGGGTATGGGCAAGAGATAGAGTATCATAGTCTTGCTACACAATTAGTTTGAAGTTTATAGAGAAGCATGCATGTATTTTTCTGAGCATTCTGCTCAGTCAGCATGTTATGCCACCTCTCGTGTTCAAGCGCCAGTCTCTAAGCAAGGCAATCTGGCTGCGCTTCGGGCCTTGTGGGATTGATAGCTTGAGGGATTCACAAGTTCTGACAGGAACATATCTCATTCATACATGACAATCGCGAATCTTAGCAACAGTAACCCATCTTGATTACTTCTTCAATACATTGTTACGACGGTGGCGAAGGAGGAAGGCGGAATCCTCCTATGCTAGTCAAATATCGTCCTAGAAACCCTAACTTTTCAAACAAATCCTCTCTAAGCCACTCGCCCATAAGCGAATTGCGCGTGTGCTCCAGTTCGCGAATATACTTGCCCGCAACCTAATAATCAGCGTTAGTAAAGCTTTCCCTTTGTATTATCTCGGGGGTTATGGCGTACCAAGCAAGACGTTCCACGTCTCGTCTCATCCACGGCCGCGAAAGGAATGGCTTCTCCAACCATTTCTGGCGTGTTAGACTCTATCCCGGCCTGTTCGATACCATCACACAGACCTGCAGTTATGAACGTTGGAGTGAAGCAAGGGGCGATTGAGTTAACCCTGATCTGCTTCTCTGTTGCTCTCTGCTGAGAGCCTCTCAGCAAACCAACTACTCCGTGCTTCGAGGCGATATAGGCAGCATTTCCTGTGGTACCAAAATAGCCCGAGGTCGAAGTTACCAACATGATAGAGCCTCGGGAGGCATTATCGGTCAGGGGATTTCTGCTCAGGTAGTGAAGGCCTAGCCTCAAGGCTGGAAATGGTCAACTTAAGTTGCCCTAAGCACATCTATCGTGAGACTTACTATTCGTTGCTCATTGCTCCCTTGAGATTGACGTCAAAGACCCTGAGAGTCTCATTTGATTCCACTGGAAGACCATCTTCATCCAGCTCTATGTCTAGTACCTTTATACTCTCCATGATGCCGGCATTGGCGACGACCATGTCCAACTTGCCGAATTTGACAATTGTCTTCTCAAATAACGAAACCATCTGTTTCCAGTTCGTGATATCAGCAGGGATAAAAACCGCCGTTCTGGATTCTCGAGGGACTTGACGAGATCCTCTGCTAATTCTCGGAGCTGACTAATAAATCAGTAGTCTACTTGTTTCTCCATGCAGATGTTTCTAAGGCTTGAGTTCGGATTTTCTATCAACAGCGATAACAAGCGCCTTGAAACAACTCATAAGTGTTCACAAAGCAACTAGTTGAATCTCAGTTTATATCCATTTTGAAATTGATTCTATTACAGATGTGTTTCGCAGCTAAGCTCTTAGATTTCTAGGAACTAATCTTCTTCTCTCCCACAGCTGGCAAATGTACTGTCTTCAGTCTTTTCAGAGTCTGGATTCAAACCTTTCCAGCGGTTCCTTGTACATTTGCAGAATCCGATCCCTCTTATCTTGTAGGCGTGTCTTTGACTCTTCAAATATTCTTAGAATACCCGTTGCCTCAAATCTTGCGTTGTGAAGCACGATGTCGGCCAGTCCCTTTGCGCAGAGAAATACTTGGGGCATGCCATGACCTGTAAACCCACCCATAATAAACATTCCGGGACGGCCAGGAATGGGGCCAACACGGGGAATACGGTCAGAAGAATAACCCATTACTGTAAATGTGGTTAGCCAGGTAGGTGGCAGAGGCTATCATAAGGGAAAAAGCTCACTCCCGTCCAGATATCATCAACACGAGCGCCACTGTTTTCCCAGCCGTGAAAATGCCTTTGCATATATCCATTAAAGTAATATCGTGCTCTCTCAATTAATTCCCTATCATTAGTATTTCCATACCAGTCTTCCAGATGCCTGATATATGCCTGGCGGGCAACCCCAACGATGATGCTTCCATCTGGCCTTGGGACCAGATAGTCAAAATCCCAGTCATTGAAGCGCAAGGTATAGGAGTTATTTAGTAATGGCGGCCTTCCGGGGGCCGTAATTCGGCTGCAAATCGCTCGGTACGGGACGATCTTGCCCTCATACTCGGGAAGAAGAGCGGCAGTATAGGCATTTGTAGTCATGACGACTTGTTTGGCCTTGATCACCCCTCTATCTTTTGCGGAAAAAAGTAATATTAATTTAATAATAAAGATATTACCTAGTAATAAACTTATTAAGCCTTATCTTACAGAATTAATAATATCTAGGACTATTTAAATAAACTACTTAAGGTATATTTTAATAGTATCTAGCTATAAATCTTAATAATAATTATTAGAGGGTTTTATAAATATATTTAGAAAGATATTAAGTAATAAATAATAATTATACTTAAGGTAATAATAATAGCCTTATTATACTATATTAAGATTAATAATAAACTACTAAATACTACTTTTATTAATAGCAAGATATTAAAACTATTAATAAGCATAATAATAGGTATAATAAAGGGTCTAAGAATAAAGAACTTATAAGCACTTATTGTAATTATATTTATAAAAGTATATTATATACCTTAATTTTAATAATACTTTTATTAAATATTTAAATTAGAAATAGTAACTTAGAAAAAGCCTAGCCTATTATTAAAACTTTAATAAAATTAGTTAAATATATAAGATTATTTATTAAATCTAAAGTATATAAAAGTAAGAGAGGATTATTATTAAATAGCTTATTACTACTAAAACCACAAAACTAGCTAGAAGAGGAGGAATAAAGATATATCTTCTAAAATATCTTTATTTTTAATAGAATCTTATTTATTATTAAGGGGTAAGATCTCTTAGCTCTCTTATTAATAACCTGCCAAATAAATCTAAGGTAGAATCTAGGTATTAATTTAGCAAATATTTAATAAAGACTGCCTATATATAGTAAGAGCTAGTTTTATAATAAGCTATATATTATGCCTTACTTTAGGAATTAGGATTACCCTGCAGTATATAATAGTTATAATATATATCCTTACTACTCTATTAGTAGTAATACTAGTAGTGCAGAATGACTAGCAAGTACTTACAGCATTTAAACCAGTAATAGGGCACCTGGGGATATATCTAAGATTAGCGCTTTAGCTTATTATATTTAGTTAATTAATTCACTTAGCTAGATATCTATAACTGTAATAGTTAGGGTTTCCAAACAGTAAAGTAGTCCATACTAGGTTAATGTTTACAGGTTGCGTAGGGCGTGATGCTAAGCGGTTGCAAGGTATTATATCTCTTAATAATAAAGTAATATATATTAGGCTTATTAATATAAAGATACTTTATTAATAGCTAGTATGCTAGGTTCTATAAAGGTACTAATAAATATATTTCTATATACTTAAATATAATTACTACCTAGGCAGGCAGTTATTAAGTAATTCTTAGGGTTACTAGTAATTCCTGGGAATTACTGGTATTTCTGGTTAGGTCCTGGTGACCGGGTCTTGGCGATTACTTATAGGATCCCTTAGTATATAGTGACTGTCTGTAATTAGAAGGAAAATATAAGGTATATATAATATAACTGCTAGAATTATAATAATAACCTTCTTATAACTTACTATAAACTTTATTAATAAATAAGAGGTTTCTTTTTAATTAACTAAGTATAAAAAACTTAATTTCTATTTAATATAATAAGTATTAGTCTTTTAGTTATATTTATTACTAATAAAAGTAATTAAAAAATATATTTATCTTAATAATACAAAGACTTAGGTATATTATATAAATTAATACCTAATATAATAAACCTTAATATAATACTAATTAATATAATATATAATTTTTCTTTTTTTTAAATTTATAAATTAGCCTTAAAAGGTATATTTAAGTATTTTTAAAATCTAATATAATTTAAATATTTATTACCCCTATAGCTAGCAAAGCTTCATTAAGTCAAATTATCATAGTTAGCTGCCTCAATTGCAGCCTAAACCTAGCTGCATATATGCCAGCTGAAAAGCCTTACCTGCTCATCAGCTGGCCCTAACCTTCTTCCTACAACCTATCTGAAAGGTCTTTCATCGACCTCTGCTGCATACCACGCTTCAATCACCCATCACGCTTCCGCAGTAAGTCATCCGACCCGACTTCTGACCGCAACCGCTAACAGCATCACAGCTGCATCGTCACGATGCCTGCTATCCGAAGAAGCCTGCAGCCACCCGATAAGGCCTTTAGGATGACATCACCCTTATCAGGCGAGCTGCTTTGGGCTGCGAGGTCCTCTTGCTTATATGTCGTCATTGCAAAGAGCTGACGATCTCTAAAGGCTACCTTAAGGAGGAGATCAAGCTGCTGCAGAAGCTAGAGCGATCCCTCATAGCAGGAAGGCCTATAGAGGTAAGTAATGAGGGATTTATCAAGGACCTTAGACTGGGGACTCCGGTTAAGAACCCGTATAGATATTGGCTTGATAATATAAAGAAACAGTCGGTAGAGCTAACGAAGGCTATGAAGCTGATCGACGGCTGGTGAAGACGAGGGGGACGGCGTACCGCGACGTCTGAGATAGAAGTGGGGTAGTCGCAGGGTTTAGGAAAATAGAAAAAATGTATTAAGTTTTGTGTAAGTTTAGTTACCTGAAGTTAAAGACCTGAAGTTGTGAATTTAGCGTCGGCGGCGAAAAGAGGATTAAATAAGTTACGAGATAGATTATATAACTAAATAAGCAAATTAGCTATAATATTAGTATATTATTAATATAAACAGGGGGTTTATTATAATATAATAGATATATAGCTATAATTATTAAAAAATAATTAATTATATATTTTATAAAATTATATATTAAGGTTTAAAAAAGATATAAAAAGTTATAATTTCTTAAAATTTAAAGATTTTAAGCTTTTTCTTATATATATAAATTAAAATATTAATATAATATAAGAATATTATAAAATAAAGAAATTATAAATTATATAATTTAAAGGCTTAACCTTTATATATTAAGATAAAATTTATTAAAAGACTAATATATTAATATTCTTTAAGAGAATTAAAATAATTTTATATTTTTAAATTTTAGTAAATGTTTTATTAATTTATTAAAAATATTTAAAAAGTATTTAATAAAAAGTATTATAATTTTTATTAATATATAACTATTTTAGATTATTATAAAGCTAATAAAACCCTTCTTATATTTTATTCTAATACTTATATATATAATTTAAATTATTAGGCCAATTTTAGCTATATATTAGGACTTTTACTAACCCACTATAATATAAATTCTTTTAACTTTAATATATTATTAATAAGTTAGTTAAGCTTATATATTACTGTATTTATAACTATTTAATATTATTTAATCCCTTTAATTATTATTATATATTACTATTTAGTACTATTTAATTAAATAAACATTCTTTTAAAAAGTAATTTATTATTTCTATTAAGAAATATTAGATTTATCTTTACTATTAGCCTTTATCCTTAATTATATATTGCTATTATTACTCTTCAAGAGTGTATTAATATAAGATATCTTATTTATACTAGTAATATATACTTATTAACTAGTTTAATTAATATATTTAAACTAGAGTTATAATTAATTTTACATTATAAACAAGGTGCCACTTTATTAAGGTAGACCAAACCATAATACGAACGTAGAAGTGTTTTACTTTTAGGCCCTAGGATCTTCCATCTGCTTGTTGACGACGGCTTGTGATTAGTTAAGATGATACACGGCTGGCGATTGAGTTTCACAGAAGGCTTCATTTTACCTCTGTTTTCATTAGTTAATACTGACCGACCTGTCTGTGTCTTTACTCTTTAGAGCAGAATTGCTCGCCAAGGGACCCGGAACGTACGGCAACTACGCCAATGTACATACATAACCTCTCTTAAACTCTAACAAGACGGAATGCATTACATCCTCTTCTCATCACATACGTGTAGGCGAGTCGCAATCAACATCATATTAAATATAATACTTTTCCTTCGTAAATAACCCTTGTAACCTCCAATTTGAGGTCATCGTGCCAAATGATGAGGCAACGCACAATCGAAGCCAGGTGTCAAGACAAATGAAAAGGCTTGGCGTAAATTGATATACGGTAGGACGGGAGCGGATGACTCCGTCTTATTAGAGCAAATATCGTGACGGGGTCCGGTTTCGATCTCGCCATACACCCTGGCATCCTTCGATTGCTAATTTCACAGGCATGGCAAAGCACCTATTCTGAGCAGCAATCCAGGGTATCATAGGATCTAATATCAAGAGTTAATGATAATAGTGGCCTCAAATCCAATCCTATGCCACACTCATCGCGCACCATGGGACATCGAACTAGGGCATCTTCGCGAATTAAATTCGATTATGGAGTTGGCTTCTCATCTTTTGATGTATCCGACTCCTCAATCAAAGATGACAACGGGTTGCCATCAGAAGATGATTCGGAAGATGATTGAGCTGAAGGCGGTGAATTTCTATTAACCCCTCTTAAGCCTCCCTCGACAGGAAGTCTGTTTGGCCTGGCTAAAGGAGATTGCAAATAACTCAGGCGTCGTACTGGACTTGCTGGAATTCAGGGATAAACTTATACTCGTAGGGCTTTGGAAATGGTATATACAGGAAAACGACCTGTATCTGGATCATGGTGTACTCAACTGTTAAGACAATGTCCAGCAGTTCGAAACGTCTATGTCTTAGGACGCCTAAGGCTTTAATATCAGTAACTACGCCAAAGGTTAAAGGCTTGTGTCCGAGGAACCATTCTTTAACGACTCATCTAGTTGTCTTCAAAGTCTAGAGTTTGCTGGTGAGGTCTGCCGCTGAGACTAGGAGCTAAGCCCTTGGGCCTACGCCATTTCACCATCGGGAGGTTCCTGGCATGGTAACTTCGCTTGGGATCGCGCTTCTCAGGTTCTAAAATTGCGAAAATTTAATAGCTTCGATACTAAGTGTAAACTTGTATAGGAATAGCAATAAGATAACATTAAACGAAAGCGTACAAGTTTTATATAGTTTTAAGGTATAAATTAAGGAAAATAGTATCATATTAAGAATTCTCAATAGGATTAAAAGCATTCAATTACATACTTTGCCTATAGTTAAATAGATACACAATATAAATATAAAACATTTATAATAATTTCACCTTAGACTCTAGTAACTCCTTCTTCTTCAATGTATATTACCAAGCATTTAGATAGGCTACCCATGGAAACGAATCTCAGTGGTTCCGCTGCGGTGCCAAGTAGCGAGTGTAATGCCGCACTGTATTACGTTAGATAAAAACTGACATCGAGTTCAAGGAGATATCAATACCTGTCCACATTTGTGCTCGACATCCTTGGCGTCGTTCATGAGATACGGAATACATCCCAAACAGAACAGACAGCAAATGGCAGCAGCCCACCCGCTGATTATAATTAGCTACAGGCACTAAGCTAACATTCTTTTAGGATCCTAACTTACTGCGTGGTGTTGCCAACTAAAAAGCTGGTTGAGGTCAAAGCACGCTGCCCACAGCTAGGGCAGTCCACCGGGGCGGGAGATCGACCGAGAGTCGCAATCGGACATGCGGTCTTGTATTGTGAGGTTACGTGGGGTGTCTGGGATACCTGGGTGGTGTTCATGCCTGGTGTGACAACTCCTGGCTGCTGAGACATGGCTTCTGCGTATTGTGTGGGAAAAACTGCGGCTGAGGTAAAGCTCCAGATTGAGCTTGTTGGTTGGGGGGTTGGTAATAATAGTTATTAATGTTAGGGGAGCGAGGCAAGGTGGTTGTTGGACTGGTAGGTATAGATGTTATGGCTAGATTCCGTTTCGATTAGTATAATTATCAAAGGAAGTAAAACCATACAGGAGTATATTATATACTAATATTGTTCTCTATTTTGATAGTGTTTGCAAGTAATTGAGTTGTTTGTTAATCGTAGTAAAAAAGTAAAAGGAGTGAGGCCAGAAATAAAGACCGTGAAAGGAGAATGCATTGACAGAGGATGTTTCCTGCCCTCGTTTTTATACTTCTAACGGCCTCTGGCTGCTTACTCGAGAGATTTAAAGCCTCAATACGGCGAGGCTGATTTGACCTCTTTTGATTGGAACAAGAAAATAGGTAACAGGTGATTAAGGACTCAGGCTGTGAAGCTGGAATGTAAGGAGGGATCATATCAGGCTGGCCGCAAAGAGGACATCCATCAGGGCATCCCTGTCGCATTGCCAGTTTTTACCAATTCTTTGGACCTCAGCATTATGGCAACTTCCTTTGCCATAATTAAGCTCATCTTTCTCATTTCAGGTTTAGTCGAGTAATGGTCTTATAGCAGTTGCCGCCGAAGCATATGTAAAGAAGCACGTACTATCACATTTGCTTTTCGACCAATTTCATTATCACTTGTGTCACCAGGTCTCGCGACACAAATATCCCATGTTTCAGCGCTAATTTCTTATGTGCCCACCATATATTGGCCTTGAACGGTCCAGAGCCGCCACGGCGTTGTGATAAATCCTAATTGCGACAGCTGCAGACCCAAAACCCCAAGTGGATTTCGCAGTTACATGGGCTAAACCATGCATTCTTACCCTCCATTAGGGTCACGATAAGGGCATAGGGCTAATAAAACAAGTAATACATACTAGCAGCACTTTCCTATATATATAAATTTAAAGTAAGAAAAGTCCTCCCAGAATTAATTATTACAAATCACCATCTTATATAATTGGCATATCGGCACTGCATGCTTTGTTACTTGCTTTATAGCTTTATAGTTTTTAGCGGTAGATAGCTTCCTTTTGCCTAACTTATCCTAAGAAGTCGTGGCTGCCCCCTGCTCGTATTAATTATATTACCTAATAGATATGGGGATCAGTGACCCAGGGTAAGTTTTCCATCGACGGTCCATCCCACGGGCAGGGGATATAAGACAAGGGGTATGCATGGTGTAGCAACAGGGTGGAGCATTTGCTACGCTCTCCGCCCACAAGCGGAGAATAATTTATGGAATTTAGCATTGCAGGTTAGATTTTAGAAAAATATTTAGGAATACCTGCTCTTCTGAGTAGCTAGTCCTTCCTCCTAGATAATTTATTGCGCCATTTCTCTTCTCTTAATACAAAACGATAGTAATACCTACTAGATACTATTATCGCTTTTTAGAGGAGCGTGTTTAGGAGAACCCAGATAAGAAGCATAAGTGTACAATTTACGGGATTAACCAGTTTGCGTACTCCCTTGTATAGCGTCAGCCCTATGATGCGAGTCAAGGGCTATCCTCAGCCGCATGCAAGGATAGTGACTGGTAAGTTTGCCTGACCAGCTGCAATACTCACTTTATCTACGGCCGCGCTAGCCGTAATAAATTTCATGAGATACTAGGGTATTCTACCTCCCCCCAACTCACCGCAAACATAACAGGGCTGGTCTGCTTTGCGCTATAACTATTATATATAGATAGGTTACTCCGAGCCTAGCCTAATAGTTACTAGCTAGCCACGCCCTGAAGTTATTGTATAAAAGGAAATATAGAGAGAATCTGGTAGAATAACTTCTATTTTTAGCTTATTGCCCTTTATAACTCTATAAAAGCATATTATAATATAATAGGTTTAATATAATCTAGGCCTATATAATTATAATATAATTTCTTTTTAATAATATACCTAATTATTTACTTATATAATATACTTATAAGAAATTAAGTTTTTATATTAATAAGGTAAAAGAAATAGTAATTATAAGGCTTTTTAATTAATAGTATTATCTTTATATTAGGCTATAAAATACTTAAAGTAAGAAAGAATTATAATAAGTCTTACTATTTACTATAAATCTCCAAACCCTAGGCATAGGTATTATAGGCTATTAGTAAAGATTTAACTAGGATATCCTTATATAAACTAGAAGCTTCCTCTACTAAAGCGCCTAGAAACCATACCCATCTTTTCTTTCTTACTGCTATTTATTTTAGCTAATTTTAATATAAAGATATCTTAATTTAACACTGCCGCTTCCTGTAATTTATTAATGCCGCTTCCTGTAGAAAACCCAATTTCTAACTCTTATATTTACGCCATAAATATAATAAGGGAAATAGCGAAATAAAAAGGCAAGAATTAAAATATAATATATTATTCTCTCCTTAATAATATTAACTAGTAAACCTATTACTTTTAGGCCTTAATTTTAGTTTTATACCTGGCATAATTACTTATAAGAGGCTAAAAAATAAAGAGAATTCTAGGGCAATTTTGCTAATTAAGCTTTAATATTTTATTAAAATAGTAATACTTATATATTTCTTAGCTAAGTAATTATTAAGCTAAATATTTAGTAGCTAGTAATATTTATTACTTTTTATAATTAAAATATAAATATTAATAGCTTAAATATAAAGCATACCTATGCCTTACTTTATATCTTATTATGCCTTTATTATATTACTTTTTACTATACTTCTTATTATTCCTCTTCTTAAAGCTATCCTTAAATCCTAAAAAGGAATTTTTATCTTCCTAAGGCTATTTACTTTAATCTTTATATTAAGAACTTAATTACTACCTTATTATTTATTATAATAGTAAATTAGCTAATTTATTTTTTTTATATCTTATAATTTACCTTTTTTTAAAATAATAAAAAAGTTATTTTTTTTATAATAAGATTTATTTAAAAATAAAGTATATATTATATAGCTATTTAATTAAAAAAAACTTTTTTAATATTTTACTATTATTTATTTCTTTAATTTTTATTATTTATTTTAATTTAATATTATATAATTAAATAAAAACTTAAAGAATAAATTCTCTTAAATTTAATATATCTTTAATAAGTTAATTAAGCTGTTTAATTAATTAACTTTATTTAATTATTTTATTTTAAATTATATAACTTTATTTAATCTCTTAAATTACTATTATTAATTACTAATTAATATTATATAATTAAAATAAAACCTTAAAGATAATTATTATATTATTAGATTATTAGAGATAAATAAATAAAACATTTATATATATATTTTATTATTTCTATTAAGCTATATTAGACTTACTTTTATTATTTTCTTTTATTATTTTCTTTTATATCTAATTATTTAGTAATATTTATACTTTTTAAAACTATTAAATTAAATAAAAAATCTCTAAAAAAGCAATTTATTATTTTAATTTAATATATTAGGCTTATTTCTATTATTTACCTTTATCCCTAATTACCTACTATTATTTTAGCCTTTACTATTACCTATCTCTCTACCAGGTCTATAAATCTCTATCTACCGCTTTTAAAGCTTAACATAGCCTTTATAAATTCTACCAACTTACTTAAACTTACTTATACCCTACTAGTAAAATATCTTAATCTTCTTATTATAGTTTAAGTTAATTAAAATCCAAATTTTAAAGATTTTATAATCTAAGATATAACCTATTTATATATTAAATAGTCTATTAGTAATAGTATCCTCTATTAGGTAGCCTATCTAGCTAGTAACTAGTATATTAAACTCTTTAAACTATAAGGCCTTCTCTTTAGCAAATATACCTAAATAGTCTTAGCCTTCGATTAGAAAGTAAATATTATCTAGTAAGTTGGTAATAGTTATTCTGCCAGGACGAATAGTTGTTGTCTATGGCACTCATAGAGGCATCTCCTCTAACAAAGAGGCCAACTTGTTACCGAAACTCACATTGGGTATACAATGCCGAACGCAGCCCTAATATCTGATCTTATTACCAAATAGCTCTATCTTTCTAATACTATTTATTTTATTTTTTAACTTAAAAGTATATGCATTTTATACTTAATTAGCAGTAGCTATAAGGATCTTTCTCTATATGCCTATATCTGCTAGGAGTTTATCTTAAAACTCTTTTATAATAGGCAATAACTATTACTTTATATAGGATTTTAGTTACTAATAAGAAAGCTAGATCTAGGCACTTATCTTATTAATACCTAGGATTATAATATAGTTAAGGTAAGCCTATTTAATAATAAGCTTATTAAACTTTTAAATAAAATCTAGCTACTAGCTATTTAAGCTTTAGCTATATTAATAAATTTTATATATCTTATAAATATACTTATCTCTAAGTTAAAATTTAACTTAATTAAATATATTAATAAGATTTATAATTAAGGAGTTTTTTTTAAAATAATATTTAAAAAGCAATATGCCTTTATATAACATAAAGGAAATTAACTTTAATTAACATAATAATAAAATATCTATTTATATTTATAATATAGAAGTAAAATAAATAGCTTATATAAAGTTACTTTATACCTAGCTATACTTTTACATTATCTTCTTTTAATTATACTTTATTAAAACTAAGTTAGTTATATAAGGAGAGAATAAAACTATATAATTATAAATTATTACATTTTAATAATTAGGTTAAGGCTAAACTACTAATTAAACACAACCTTTAATTAGCTAGCCTTAGTAAAATAAGTTATATAACTAACTATATTATAAAGATTAGGTTATTAACTTTAAATAAGGCTAATATCTCTAGCACTAAGTATTATAATAGTAATCTAAGGGGAAACATCTTATTAAAACTAATATCTTTATATAAATTAATAGCAAGTTAAGCAGAGAGGATATATATTAATCCCTATTAAGGTAATAACTATAATCTACTTACTAAAATATTTTAGTTTTAAATACTAAGTAACTAGGTATATAATAGCAGTAACTATAAAGGTTAACTTATTTATAATATTGTCTCTATATATTTTAATTAACTTACTAAGTAATTTAATAAACTAGGTCTTTACTATTTTTATATACTATGTAATAATACCTAAGAAAAGGGCAATAGAGGCAGCAATACTATATAGCAGTCTCTCCTAGCTATTCTAGCCCTTAAGATTATAGTTAGTAAAGTTATACTTGCAGAAGATAGTATATTCCTTAAAAAGAATAATAAAATAGCTAGTATATTAATACCCTAAGAGACTTAGAAAGTCCAGCAGGTATATATTAAGTTTTTAATAACTAATAATAGCTAGAACTATAATAATTATAAAATTATTAAGTATTTAAATAAACTAAGGAACTTTAATATATAAGGTAGCTATTTATTAAAATAAAATAGCTAATAAGTAGAGGGATATAATATTAGTATTAATACTACTAAAAGATAATAAAATAAGAAGTAACTTAATAAAGCCTTAAGGATATAATATATTTCTAATAAGCCTAAATCCTAGTAAAGGTCTATATATATAGTCTTTTAGGTATTAATATTATTAGGTATATTAGTAATTATAGCTCTTATAGTTATGCTAATTACTATAGGGATATTAATACTAGCTATAATTAAAAGCTAAGCTTTTAGCCTTAATATATTAACTAAGTAATATATATAATAATCTAAAGCTATAATTACTTATAATATAAAGCTAGTATAAATAATAATAATTAAAAAAAAGATATTACTTAAAAAATTTATACTTAAACTAGAGGCAAGGGCCTTATTATTTATATATATATTTTTTTTAAGTTTATAACTTAGCCTTAAAAGGTATATCTAAGCATCTCTAAAATCTAATATAGTTTAAATATTTATTACCCTTATAGCTAGTAAAGCTTTATTAAGTTAAATTATTATAGTTAGCTGCCTTAATTATAGCTTAAACCTAGCTGCATATATGCTTGCTAAAAAGCCTTACCTACCTATCAGCTAGCCCTAACCTTCTTCCTATAACCCACCTAAAAGGCATACTTCAATTATCCATTACGCAGTAAGTCATCCAACCTGACCCGACTTCTGGCCGCAACTGCTAACAGCATTATAGCTGCCCTGTTATAATACCTGCTATCTAAAGAAGCCTGCAGGCACCTAGGCCTAATAAGCCTTATTTAACTAAAGGCTATAATATAATCCTTAAGATTAAAGAAGTTCTTAGGTAAAATAAGGGCAAGGGTAATATATTATATATAATAGCTATAGATATTAGAGAGGCCTAGTTAATAAGGATATTATTAGCTATATTAAGATAATATTTTTTAATTATAAGATTTTGTTATTTATATAGTTAATTTATAAAAACCTTTTAATTAATAAAGACTTTTTTAAATATAAGAAATAAAAGCTTAAGAATTTAAAAGAAAGCTATATAAAGGGATATAGCTAAATAAAAAAGAAAAGGGGTTATTTAAGGCCTTTAATAGTAGTTTATATAATAAGTAACTTAAGGATATTTAGTAATTAGTTAAGGAGGTATTAAAGAAAACTAAAAACTTATAATATAATATTTAAGATAAAAGTAAGGTAATTATAAGGTTTAAAGGAAAAATATATTAAGTTTTATATAAGTTTAATTACTTAAAGTTAAAGACTTAAAGTTATAATTAAATTTAGTATTATTAGTAAAAAGAGGATTAAATAAGTTATAAGATAAATTATATAATTAAATAAGTAAATTAGCTATAATATTAATATATTGTTAATATAAACAAGGGCTTATTATCTGTATATAGTTTTACTATACTAAAGATAATTATAAATATAATAAAGTAAATATACTAGGTATAGTACTTATAAATTAAGATATATTTAAGACCTAAAAAGCTAATAGCAAGTAAAACTAAGATAATAATAATAATACTATTAATAAGAGATTATATAGCTATTTATAATAGTAATAAGGGCTAGGCTATTACTAATAGTAATAATAAACGCCTAACCTAGCTATTTAATATTATTAAGAAATATAATAATTTTATTAAGATACTAGCTAAAGCTATAACAAGAAACAGAAACCTAATATAGGCCAGTTACTATATTAAAGGTAGTATACTATAAGGATATTAAGCTATTAAGGATAAAAGTAAAGATATAAATAAGCAGACTCTGCTTTAAACTTAGGCTAAACTCCTAACCTAGGAACCTAATAGCAAAGCAGCTAATGCTTATAATACTAGAGGCCTAAATCAAGGCTATATTAAGCTCTTTATATTATAATATAGGCTCTTTATCCTCTTTTATTTTTTTTATAATAGCCTTAAACTTAACCTTAAGAGCCTTATTTATATAAGCCTTAAAGTAGCAGAGGCTTACTAAGATACTAGGCTTATAGTTAGATAATAAAGCAAAGTCTTTAATTACTAGCATATTGCTACTACCTAACTCGAAGGACAGCTTGTAGTTCCTACCTTTAAGCTTCTTATTATAAGCTACTATATCTGCCTAAGTCCTTAGCTTTATTAAAATCTAAATTAACTAGAAATAGGTAATAGCTAGAAATATAATTAAAATAAAAGAATATAAGCTATATAGTAAAATAGATATTAAAAGAGGCAAAGTAAGTAGGCTTTAATACTATATTTTTAAATCCTAAGAACCCTATATTAGTTTATATAATTAAAGATTTAACTAATAGTAATTACCACTTTTCCTATACCTACCTAATTATTGTATTTATTTATAAGATATAATATTACTGGCCTTATTTATATTTCTATTTTATTATTATATTATACCTATTATTAGTTATTATTAAACTTCTAAGCAACAATAAGTATTACTTATTAATGCTATACTAGGATATTATATATAATGCATATATAACTTGCAAGTATTATATATAAGATATTATATACATTAGAACTTAGGAATATTAGTATTAGCTATAGCTACTTAGTGCCTGCTAGATTTATTGCCTAATCGGGCTACTTATTAATAACCTGCCTAGAATCTGGCTATTATAGTATTAGAATAAGTATTATAGGGAATTAGAAAAGAGACTTTTTTTCCTACTTCCTAATAGAGGATAGTTTTACTTTATCTAAAAGTTAAAATAAACTTTTATATTATTTTATTTATAGCTACTTAGGCTAGTAATTTAAGTTATTTAAAACTAAGGGTTAAATAGTAAAGATAGCTATTAAGGTTTAGAATTACCTTAAAGTATTATATTAACTAACTAGAAACCTATTAAATTAATTTATAAAAATTAACTAGTTAGCAGATTCAAAACGCCTAGCTTAAACCTAATAGTATTACTTAATTTATTTTATTAATAAAGTATCTATTAGCCTCCCCTTATTTGCAAGGCTTTATAAACTCTTTAATTCTAAGGCATTTAGGAACTAGAACTTAATAAGCAGATCTTAATAAGCTAATATATAAAGCACAGATTTATAGGCCCTAATCTTTTTAAAAGTTCTAAGAAGATTATAATCTTATTCTTCCTCAAACTTAGGATTATAGGGTTTATAGCCCCCCTCTTAGTTTTAATTACTTACTACTATAATAGATTGCCTAAACATTCCTAAAAGCCGCAAGTATAAAAGCAGGTATAGTTAAGGCTATAGATGCTTATCCTTATGATTTTCTCGGCATAGTATCTTGAGCGTAGTAGAGGGCAGAGGGAGATTTAACTTTCTCTATAATATAGTAGTCTTAAATAGCCTAGTTCTGCCCCCTAGCCTTTATTTATTTAAACACTTTAAGGAAGTATCTTTAAGCTACAAGTAATACATTTATATACTTATAGCTATAAATATTAACTTATATTCTAGATAGTATACTACACTTCTAGACTGTTTATAATATATATATACTAAGGGTTTTTAGTATAATTATATATATTAAATTAAGAATCTGCTAAATTAGTATTTATATTATAAATAAGCTAAATAGGCAGTCTTTTTAGCATTAATATTATAATATTCATTTTTATAGCTATATCCCTAGATAATGCCTTTTAGAGGGGACTATTATTAGCTTCCCTTAATAACTTTATAAAGGGGATTTAAGGTAAGTTAGTTAGTAGTATTTGCCAGGATTGGCTTACTTTAGCCTAAAATTTCTAAGCCCCCTATCTTCTATCTTATTAGATAATAAAGTTATATAACTTTCTTAGCTAAGGTTATTAATAACTGCTTCTAACTTTAGTTATTTATTTTAACTATTTCCTTTATTATCCTATTAAATTCTTATTTATACTTTATGGCTTTACTTACTTTTTAATACATATACACAGGGTATATATAGTCTTATTAATATCTTTATAGTTTAATTATATCTATTAGCCCTAGTCTAATCCACCTTTTAATCCCAATATTATTTATACCCTGCATTTTATAATAATATTTATCCTCCTCCTTATTACTATAATACTCCTTATTAATATTACTTTAGCCTAATAATACAACTTTAAGACTCTTAAAACATCTTATTTAATACTTATTACTAAAGATAATTAAAATTATAATATTATTACTAATAAGCTTAAATAACCTTAAGGTATTTTATTTAATAATAAGGGTACTTTTATTATTATAAGTTTTAGAAATAGTATAATCTATTTTAAACTTAATAATAAAGGAAAAACCTACTTATAAGTTAGAAAAAAGAGTACTTTACTAAAGAAGGATAATATCAGCTACTTATATCCTAGATCTTTTATCTCTTAACTATTAACTAAGTAATATATTATATTAGCTAAACTATAGCATTGCCCCCTCTAAAGATAGATATATACTTTATACTTCTTTATTTAATAAGGTCTTTGCATAGCCCTATAACCTATTTAAAATTACCCTTAGTAACTTTTCTATCTAAACTCTAGTCTCTAATATAACTAATAGAGGTTATACCTTATAAACCCTACTTATCTTATAGAAATATCTTAATATACTGCTTATATCTTATAATAGCAATAAGAACAATAATACAAGGGCTAAGAATTATAACTCTAGCCGCTTTTAGATTTATACCTTTAATATCTTATCTTTTAATAGTAATTCTAATAAAAAACCTTATAATTACCTTAATAGTATAATTATTAATTAAGATCTATATAATTCTATTAGTATAGTAAAGTATCTAAAGACAGGTAGCATTTTTAATATTAAGAATTTAGCTAATAATCTATATTATAATAATAAAGATATCTATAAAGATAACCTAGGCAAGGAGATAAACTTCTATAGCTATCTTAATAGCTCTAATAATTAGGGTAATAACTATAACTACCCTCTTTACTATATACTCTAGTTTATAAATAACTTCCTTAGTCTTAGCAACCTTAAAATAGGCAATTAATTTCTAGCTAATTATTAGGCTAATAGTAATTATATTACTGCCCTTATTAATGTAAAATATAAATTAAAATATATTACTTTAATACTAGCATTCTAAGCCTATACTATGCCTTTAAACCTAAAGTTTAATAAGAATAGCATAAGAGCCTATATATCTTTTTATAAAAGCTATAAGATCCCCTTGCCTTAACTCCTAACTTAATTTATATTTAAAACCCTTAAGGAATTATAATCTACTAGTTAGCTATAAAGTCTTATATATAGATTTCTAAAATAGCCGCCTTATATCTTCTTTATAAAATACAAATACTACTATACCTATTATTTATAATAAAGATCTCTTAAAGTATTTAAATAACTGCTTTTACCCTATTAGTCTAGTATAGGACTCTAAAGGTTAATTATAGTTTAGTTTTAATAAAACAGGTAAGGTCTTTATATTAAGCCAGGAAAGCAGATTAGGTTTAAGTAAAAGAAATAGTTCTAAATCTAGCACTAATAATATTAATAATAATAATAATTCTAACTCTCTATAGCCCAGGTTAGCTGCTTTTATTATAACTCTTACTACTTTAATTATATAAGGCTTACTTATATAATACTTCTAAGTAAAGGGTTTTCTTAAATTACAAATTAATAATAGCTAAAATTAATTAAATATATTTATATAATAGGGCTATATCTTCTAATTATATATCTAATATTTAATACAAAAGCCTCTTATTTATCTTAAACTAGGTTTATATCTTACTTAAACTTAATAATAATCTCAGGGGCGCCCTTACATTTAATAGGCATTATATAGACTAAGCTTTAATAATTATAGTTATAAATTAGACTTCCTAAACCACTACATCAGCCAGTAAATATAACCTTTAGCACAGGACTTGCATTTCTAAAGATAGATAGATATTAAGATGCCTTAAATATTAGCCTATAACTAGATATCCCTCTTTGCAAGTAAGAGAAAGGCTATAAGAGTAAATATAAAACTGCTAGTCCTCTTAAGATAAGTTACTTTTAGCCTCTTTAGTAAGACTTTAATTAGTATATAGGCCTTAGTAAGATAAAGATAGGTATTATATTAGTAATAATAAGTATAAATTCTAAAGGGGTATTAACTTATATTAAGCTATTTAATAATATTATTTTTATAAGCCTAATATATAATAATAAAATAAAACTAGGCTTTAATATTTAATAATTTATTTATACTTTATATTTAATATAACTAAGATTTAATTATTAATAATTTATTATATTATATATTTTTTTTAAGTATTTAAGTTAACTTTAAAAAATATATTTAAATATCTTTAAAGTCTAATATAATTTAAATATTTATTATCCCTATAACTAATATAGCGTTATTAAGTTAAATTATTATAATTAATTGCCTTAATTATAGCCTAAACCTAGCTATATATATGCTTGCTAAAAAGCCTTACCTACCTATTAGCTAGCCCTAACCTTCTTTCTTTAACCTACTTTAAAGGATACCACGCTTTAATTATCTATTATATAGTAAGTTATCTAACCCGACTTTCCCTCTTCTGGCCACAACTGCTAACAGCATTATAGCTGCCTTATTATAATACCTGCTATCTAAAGAAGCCTGCAAGCACCTAGGCCTAATAAGCCTTATCTAACTAAAGGCTATAATATAATTCTTAAGATTAAAAAAGCTCTTAGGTAAAATAAGGGTAAGGCTAATATATTATATATAATAGCTATAAATATTAAAAAGGCTTAGTTTAATAAAGATAATACTAGTTATAGTAAAATAAGTTATATTATAATATTATAAGTATTAATATTATAAAGTAAATAATAAGCCTTTTTATTATATATTTTATTTTTATTAAATATTTTTAATAACTTTTTAAAATTATTTAAAAGTAATAAGTTATAAAAATTTAAGTAAATAATAATAAGTAATATTAAAGCCTAGTTATAACTATAACTTATAACTTTTATAAATTATTATATATTTACCTTTTTTCTTTTAATAATATATATAAAGTAAATAAAATATAAAAAGACTTAATTATATTAAAATATATATATAGTTTTATAAATTAATAAGGTTTTATATTTTTAAATATTATAATTATAATATATAATTTTCCTTTATTTATATTAATAATATATTAATATTATAGCTAATTTACTTATTTAATTATATAATTTATCTTATAACTTATTTAATTCTCTTTTTACTACTAATATTAAATTTATAACTTTAAGTATTTAACTTTAAGTACTTAAACTTATATAAAACTTAATATATTTTTCCTCTAAACCCTGCAATTACCCCGCTTTTATCCCAGATATCGCATCGCGCTCTCGTGGTCCAAGACCATAACCAGCCTGTTATAAGTTCTTGGTCTTCTCTAGTACCTCCTTGGCCTGCTAATAGATATCCTTAAGCTACTTATTATATAAGCTGCCTAGGTTAAGGGCCTTAAAGAACCCCCTTTCCTTCTTACTTAAATATATCTCTTTATATAACTTTTATTTTAAATCCTTAATCTTTTACTTTTTATATTTAAAGAAGTCTTTATTAATTAGAAGGTTTTTATAAATAAATTATATAAATAATATAATTAATATTAAATTAAGCCTTTTTAATATTTATAATTATTATATATAATATATTACCTTTGCCTTTATTTTATTTAAGAGCTTTTTTAATTTTAAGGATTATATTATAGCCTTTAGTTAAATAAGGCTTATTAGGCCTAGGTGCTTATAGGCTTCTTTAGATAGTAGGCAGCGTGATAGGGCAGCAGTAATGCTATTAGCAGTTGCAGTTAAAAGAGGGAAAGTCGGGTCGGGTTAGATAACTTACTGAAGCGTGATGGATAATTGAAGCGTGGTATCCTTTTAGGTAGGTTATAGGAAGAAGGTTAGGGCTAGCTAATAAGTAGGGCTTTTTAGCTGGCATATATATAGCTAGGATTAGGCTATAATTAAGGCAGCTAATTATAATAATATAATATAATAAAGCTTTATTAGCTATAAGGGTAATAAATATTTAAATTATATTAAACTTTAAAGATATTTAAATATATTATTTAAGGCTAATTTATAAACTTAAAAAAAAAAAATAGTAAATATTATTTCTTATTTATATTAATAATATATTTATAATATAGCTAATTTACTTACTTAATTATATAATTTATTTTATATTTATTTAAGTTTCTTTTTAATATTAATATTAAATTTAAAACTTAATATTTTTAACTTTAAGTAATTAAATTTATATAAAACTTAATATATTTTTTTTATTTTCTTAAATATTATAATTACCTTACTTTTATCTTAAATATTATAATAATTCTTTTTTTTAAAGTTTATAAATTAGCCTTAAAAGATATATCTAAGTATTTTTAAAGTTTAATATTATTTAAATATTTATTACCCTTATAGCTAATAAAGCTTTATTAAGTTAAATTATTATAATTAGCTGCCTTAATTATAGCCTAATCCTAGCTATATATATGCCAGCTAAAAAGCCCTGCTTATTAGCTAGCCCTGACCTTTTTCCTATAACCTACCTAAAAGGATACTACGCTTCAATTATCTATCACGCAGTAAGTCATCTGACCTGACTTTCCTTCTTCTAACTGTAACTGCTAACAGCATTACAGCTACACCGTCACGATGCTCTAAAAAGCCTGCAGCTACCTAATAAGGCCTTTTATACTAAAATGCCTAACTTAATTCCTTATTTTATAATAGCTCTTAAAAATTATAAATATAAGGATAAGCTCTATATTATAATAATAAAGATTAAAAAGACTTAAAATAAGGAAGATAATATTACCTTTATTAAGTAAGTTACTTTAGGCTATAAGGTCTTCTTATTATATATTTTATTATAAAAAGCTAATAATCTTTAAAGGCTACCTTAAGGAGGAGATTAAGCTATTATAAAAGCTAGAATAATCCTTTATAATAAGAAGGCCTATAAAGGTAAGTAATAAGGGATTTATTAAGGACCTTAAATTAAGGACTCTAGTTAAGAACCTTTATAAATAATAGCTTAATAATATAAAGAAATAGTTAATAAAGCTAATAAAGGCTATAAAGCTAATTAATACTTAGTAAAGATAGGGGATATTATATTATAATATTTAAGATATAAGTAGGGTAATTATAAGGTTTTATAAAGAAAAAATATATTAAGTTTTATATAAGTTTAGGTTACTTAAAGTTAAAGACCTAAAGTTATAAATTTGGCATTAGTAGTAAAAAGAGAATGAAATAAGTTATAAGATAGGCTATATAACTAAAAAAGTAAATTAGCTATAATATTAGTATATTATTAATATATATAAGAGAAATATTATAATATATTATCCCCCTTATCTTTACTAGCTATTAATTAGCTTTATAACCTTTATTAATTATATTAACTATTTCTTTATATTATTAAGCTAATATCTATATAGGTTTTTAATAGCCTTTAATTTAAGGTCTTTAATAAATCCTTTATTACTTGCCTTTATAAGCCTTCTTATTATAAAGGATTACTTTAGCTTTTAAAATAGCTTAATTTCTTTTTTAAAATAACTTTTAGACATTATTAGCTTTTTATAATAATAATATATAAATAAAAAGAATTTATAACTTAAAGTAGTTTATTTAATAAAATAATAATATTTTTTTTATTTTTAGTTTTTTTAATTTTTATTATTATAATATAAAGCTTATTTTTATATTTATAATCTTTAAAAGCTATTATAAAATAAAGAATTAAATTAGGTATTTTAATATAAAAGGCCTTAATAAGTAATAATAAGCTTTTTTAAATAAATATTATAATAATATAGCTATAATACTATTAATAATTATAATTAAAATAAAAAGTTAAATTAAATAACTTATTATATAATAAATAATTAA